TAGTGTTGGGCCTCTGTTTGGGGCCTAGGAAGGGAGCCTTGGCCAGAGCTTTACCCGCTGGAGAAGTAGGGCACCTTTAAGCAGGGTTTAGACCCTCACAGAAGAACCAAGATCTGTAGTGGTTTTGGTTTCTTTTTTTTAAATCTGCCTAGATGGGATAGGATTTGGCAGCTCTTGGGAGCTAGAATGGTGCACTCCTTAAGAAAGCTGGAGTTGTTGCTAAAGAAAGCAAGAGGCTGGGGACACCTGTTTGCTGGTAGCCAGACTGTTGATATGGGCTCTGGAAAGACCCTGCTGTTGAAAGAGCCAGGCTCCTTTGTCAGTGGTGTGTGTGTGTGTAGGAGGGCATATGTAGCAGGGATGGGAACTTGGGGAAAAGCCTTGGTTGTGCAGGAGCTCCTCCAAAAAGGCTCTGGAAACCTATATCGTGTGTATATGGGTTTACTGAGACCCTGGGACTGAAAAAGATGCTTTTATAATGGGCATCTTTAGTTGTAAGAGTTGGCACGTTAAAGTTGGGTGTCTCATTAGAAGACCTGGCTGTTAGCTGTAGAGCTTGCATCTGAAGGTGGGCATGTTTCTTCAGGAGACTGTAGTAATTAGGAACAGATACCTGGAGAGTAGAGACTGTTTGGATGAACCCAAGCATCTCTGGGTTCTCTCCCTTAAGCTTTTTTCCAAGGTAAAATTTATTTCAGCTAACATCACTTGATGAATGTTCCCTTATGTTTTCATCACCTCCGGGGCAAACCTCCTAGAGTCGGGTGCTGGGGAAAAGTGAGTAAGCTGAGTGTAATTTGTGGTAGCCTAGGTCAAGAGACTTCCCAGAAAGACTTTGGTGGTACTGGTAGTACACTTGACTGATTTGAGAGAATACCCTGGATTTGCATTCATTCTCTAGCAGTCTGTTCTATTTCTTCCACTTCCTGGTTTAGGGTGAGGATTATTCTGGGTGGTGGTGGTTGTAAGCACACCTATTCTAAGAGTGGTGGGATTCATGAAAGATTTGGTGTGTGCAAGGCTGACACAGTGTGGGCCTAACTCCTGTGATTTTACTTGTTGGCATCTACTCATCCTTTCGTTCTGAGCTTGTCCTGAGAATCTGCCCTCTGTTAACAGCTCTTTTTTTTTTTTTTTTTTTTTTTTTTTTTTGACTGCAGGGAGTAGTGCTCTAGGCCTTTTATTGGAAGATTAGTTACTTCCTAAATTGCTCTCCTGTGCATCCCTGACCCCACAGCCTTTTGTCCTCCCTTCCCTTTCAGTCTGGTTTCTTCCCCACGCCCTTTCTGGCTGATACTTAGAGCATTCCCTACATGCCCAGCATGTGCAACCCGAGATAGCAGGGCAGGACACCCGAGCTGTTTCAGCCCTCATCACAGGCTCAGGGAGAAAAGAAGGGCAGATGCCTTGGGATTAAAGAAGAGAGGGCTTTTTGGTTTTCAAGTAGGGAGTGTGTGGCTTAGGGCCTAGGAATGGACTGAGAGCATTTGAATGTTAGAAGCAGAGGAGGGACTTGCCAGGCTTTACATAGAAGCTCTGGGGATTAGGAAATAACTTCTAGAGAAGCAGAGCTGGAAAGCTGGGGTGATGATGTCCTTGTCCCTTTTCACCTTTCTCTTACAGTCTTTGCTTCACTTTGGCCTTCTTTATGTCCTGTCAGGTGTAGTAGGACTGTAAAGTAGGACATCACAATGTTCTCTACACTGTCCTGGGTACCAGGATAAAGAGGCCCTTCAAACAGTCACTACAACTTGTGACTTGGCTAGTAGAAACAGAAGTGGACAGGTGGCTGGTTAAAATAGTCCTGATGGCCCCTAGCCAGAAGAACTTAGCTGACCCGACAACCCCTGGATTCCCTCATCTACTGTTCCCCCCAGTGATCCAAGGACTTCCTTTCCTGACTCCTATTCTCTGCCCACTAAGAGTCTGAGGTTCTTGGTTTCCAATGAGAGGTGACATGAGTGGCCATGAAGAATCCTTGAGGTGAAAGTGGGGAACCTGTGTGTTTCTTTGTTCAGTGTAGCAGGATATATTAAGAGGGCACATTATGCTATTAGCTCATTATTCTTGCTACAGTTTTTTTTTTTCCTTCTTGTTTTGAGACAGGGTTTCTCTATGTAGCTTTGGAGTCTGTCCTGGATGGAACTAGCTTTTGTAGACAGGCTGGCCTCGAACTCACAGAGATCTGCCTGCCTCTGCCTCCCAAGTGCTGGGATTAAAGTTGTGCACCACCACCACTGGGCATCCTTTCTGCGGTTTTTAAGGCACTGGAAAAATAGGCATGATTTGAGAGGAAATTTGTGTTCTCATGGAATTTTGAGTTTAGTTTTAATAAGGAGACAAGACTAGCTGTGCAGCCCTAGGCATGAAGAATTTAGTCTTTGTTGCCTATCTCATCACTTGTTAAACAAGGATAATTATAGTATTATTATTATTTTTTTTTTTTTATGGTGCTGGGCATTGAACCTAGATAGAGTCTCTAGCATGCTGACAAGTGTTCTATCATTGAACTTTACTCTATCCCTATTATTAGGTCCTGAATCTTACATATAGTGCCTAGCATATGTGGCAATGTTCAGTATTTGCTATTATTATTGTTAGGAAAGATTTCTTTATAAGGGGTTCTAATTTCCTTTCTCTTGCTATTCTTAGGTAATTCAGTATCAGACTGTTCGATATGATATCCTTCCCTTATCTCCTCTGTCCCGGAATCGACTAGGTGAGTATGTTGGATGGGAAGACTACCCACAGGTGAAATAGGCTCCAGCTTTGGGCTGGAGGTCATCGGTGTTTTCTTCCCATTGTGGTTCAGCCCAGGTGAAGAAGAAGATCCTGGTGCTGGATCTGGATGAGACACTTATTCATTCTCACCATGATGGGGTCCTAAGGCCTACAGTGAGGCCTGGAACACCTCCCGATTTCATCCTCAAGGTGTGTGGGGATTATGAAGTAGTTACATCTCTTACTGTTTCCAGACATAAACTCTCTTTCCCAGTCTTAAGGGTTAGGGCTTGGCAAGACCTGGCATCATCATCAGCCAGAAGAGGAAAAGCAGGTGGTGGGCATAGGGCAAGGTCAGTGTGGTAGTGCTCAGGACTCCCACATCTTTTCCCTGTTCCTTTGCAGGTGGTAATAGACAAACATCCTGTCCGGTTTTTTGTACATAAGAGACCCCATGTGGATTTCTTCTTAGAAGTGGTGAGTGTGCATTAGCTAATGGGAGCTCCCTGATGAAAGAATGGTGGTAGGGTTCTGGGTCTTCAGGGGATTTGGAGAAAAGGGTGAGAAGTTGGTGTAGTGATCAGGGTTCTTTAGAGGAACAGAACTAATAGAATACAAGTATATAGATCTATGTTATTCAGCTTACAATAAAATAGTAATGAGTTGTCTCATACCTGAAACGCTAAGAACCAGATAGATGCTCAGTGCTGGAGTGGTTTCACAGTGTTTCTCTTATACTGGAGAGGCTGACAGTTTTATAGTTACTCAGTCCATGAGACTGGTGTCTGAAAACTTGGGAGGTTCCTGAAGAGCTGCTGGTCCTTATTATGCTGGTTGTGACATTAGTGAAGGAAGCAGCTGCAGCAGCAGGGTGAATCAGCACAGTGGCAAGGGGGAAGGTGAAATGAGCAAGAGGCAAATACCAGAAGGTTCTACCAACTCTCATGGTGGGTCTTCCTACATCACTTAAAGCAATCAGGACAATTCTACAACTGAGAGCCCATTTGGTGGTTCTAATCTATGGCAAGTTGACATTAAAACCAAACGTCACAGTCTATCCCTTGTCACTTGACAAAATGACGTCACTTTAAAAACCATACTCTTGGGTGGGAGAGATGGATAGTACTTGTTTCTCTTTCAGAGGGCTGATGTGTATTAGCTCCCACATCAGGTGGCTCATAACCACTTGTAACTCCAGCTTCAGGGGATCTGATGCCTGTGGCCTTTGTGGGCACCTGCACTCACATGTACATAACCACACCTACATGAACATAACTTGAAAAAAAAACATATGCAAATAAACCGTAAAAACCATAACTTTATTCTCCTAAGTCTCATATTTATTTCATAATATAAAATGTAACTTTAATAGTTCCACAGTCTTTAAAAAATCCAAACACTTAAAAGTTCAAAGTCTCAGCAGAATGATGGTGGCTTGCACCTGTAATCCCAGCACTTATGAGACAGAGATAGGGGGATCTCTGTGAGCTCAAGGCCAGCCTGGTCTACAAAGCAAGTTCCAGGTCAGCCAGAGCTGTTACCTAGAGAAACCCTTGTCTTGGAGGGGGAAAAAAAGAGAAAAGAAAAATTCTCTGAGGACTATATTTACACCTATGGATGGTAGACAGCCATAATTTGATACAAATTACTGTTCATCTATTTGGCTCTCTTAAAATATTCAGTCTCTTAACTGGCTTCCTGTAAAATCAAAAACAAGTTACTTTTTTATCCCCCTAGGATGGGTTTCTCTAGTTATCCTAGAACTCACTCTGTAGACTAGGGTGGCCTCCAACTCACAGAGATCTGCCTGTCTCTAACCAATACCTCCCACCCCTCACCTCTCCATCCCTGCTTGGATTAAAGGCATGTGCCACCATTGCCTGGCACAAGTTACTTATAAGAGGGAAGAACCAGGGCTACAATCAAATCATAGCAAAACCAACATCTAGTGGTGTAAATCAAATCTTACAGCTCAGTGTCTGACATTTGGGACTCACTTACGGTCTCCAGGGCTCCAAAGAGCTTGGGCAGCTTCATTTTTCTAGCTTTGCCATCAGTAGCACACACGGCTTGTCTCAACTCTGCTTCACGTCTGTCACTGTTTTCTGTGGTTATCCCATGGTCCTGGCATATACAATATACTAGGGTCTGTGCTGCAGCTGAGGTTGTATTTTTACCAGTTGTCTGCTAGCCTCTTCAAGAATTCTGACTCTGTCCCATGGTACCAAGCCTTAGCTTCACTTCATGACCTCAGTCCTGGGGTTTCCACTGTAACTGTACCTTCATCAATAGCCTCTCCTGACCTTTCACAGTGCCTAACCTCAACTTTTCTCCATGATCCCTTTAATTCTGTACCCTTCCTGCTGCTGAAACCAGTAGTAAGGTGTGGACTTTGAAATACATACTAAGTTTGGCTGCCAGCTGTAGATGCAGCCTTAATTAGACCATAACTTCTAGACCATAATTTCTGTGTATCAGCCCTGAGGAAATACTTCAGAAGATTTCACCTTGGTATGCTGGTCTCTTCTCATAACTGATTCTTCGGCTCTAGCTGAGCAGCATCCATTGTCTCATTAAAGCACAGACTGCGGTTGTTTGAAACAGGGTCTCTTTATGTAGTTCTGGCTGTCTTGGAACTCTGTAGCCCAGGCTGGCTTTAAACTCACAGAGACCCTCCTGCCTCTTGCCTCCTCAGTGCTGGGATTAAAGATAGGTGTGTGCCACTGTGCCTGGCTTTGGTCCATAGATTCTTCTTTTTGAAGGAATTGTGTTATTTTTACTTTATGTATATATGTGAGTACTTGTATGTATGTCTGTGTACCACATGCATTCCTGGTGCCCGTGGAGGCCTGGTGCTGCAGCAACGAGAACTGGAGTTGCAGGCAGTTAACTTATGAGCTGCCTGATGTGGGTGCTGTGTCCACAGATCGTGATTCTTAATTCAAAATATTACATAAACAGCCCTGGTAGTCTTGGTTTTCCTCTAAAACTTTACAGGCCAGCCTTCCATCCTTTGCATAGTTCTTGGCATTATCTTTTAAGCTCTCCGAAGAACAGCCCGTTAGGCAGTAAGCATTCAGTGGCTTCTCCACCTCAAAGTTTCACACACTTCCATAGTCCTCCCCCAGACCAACATGGGCAGGTCTGGCACAGCAGATCCCATTTTCCTCTGCAAATTTGTAATAGGGTTCTCTAGAGGAACAGAACTGATAGGATGGGTATGTATTAGCAGAATTTATTAATTCAGTTTATGTTAAAATAGTAATGAGTTGTCTTACACTTTCAAGGCTAAGAACTTAGTGGAAGCTGTGTCTTTGTGGTTGGAGAAGTGGACAACTTAGTAGTTGCACAGTCCACTGAGGGCAGTGTTACCCCTGGACAGTTTGTCCTGTGTTGGGTAAGAAAACATACTGAGCAAGCCATGGAAACAAGCCAATAAGCAACATTCCTTTGTAGTCTCTACTTTAGTTCCTGCCTCTAGGTTCCTCTCTTGACTTTCTTCAGAGATGGAGTGTGATCTGGGAGTTATTAGAGGAAATAAATCCTTTCTTCCCCAAGTTGGTTTTGGTCAATGTTTAATTAAAGCAACAAAGTAACACACTAGGACTGTGGGTAAGGGCAGTTTTGTAAGGGGAATTTGTAGGGAGGTAAGGGATGGCTTTGAGTAGCTGGGGTTCATTTGTTACAGTGCTATGATTCTATTCTTTCACAGGCATCCTGCACTTTTGTGTTTATATTTCTATCTTGAGGGTGTTGGTTATACTAAGTTTGGAAGATTGGCGGAGGGTCCAAATATTTTGCATTTTCACAGACTTTGATGTTACTTGAAGGCCAAAGGGCTAGGCTGAAAATCATTATGTCTTAACGATTACTTTGTATGACATCTTTATTCCTCTTCAATCTACTTCAGGTAAGCCAGTGGTATGAGCTTGTGGTGTTTACAGCAAGCATGGAAATTTATGGCTCTGCTGTGGCAGATAAACTGGACAATAGCAGAAGCATTCTTAAGAGGAGATACTATAGACAGGTAAGGAGCCAGAGTCAGGTTTGAAAGAGAGGCAGGTTACCTGGGTCCTGGGTGTGTGGTGGGGATGGGGATGGGGATGGGGATGGGGATGGGTGTGTGTATGCTACATCACCCTCTGCTTTTCAGCACTGCACTTTGGAGTTGGGCAGCTACATCAAAGACCTCTCTGTGGTCCACAGTGACCTCTCCAGCATTGTGATCCTGGATAACTCCCCCGGGGCTTATAGGAGCCACCCAGGTATGGGGAAGGTGGTGAGTCTGGCAGGACCAGGAAATGGCTCTGACACAGGGCCTCCTTAGAGAACCAGGCTGGCCTGACCAGACTCTTTTAGTGGTTCTGGGGATGGGACCCAGGTCTTCACACTAAATCCCAGGCAAAGCACTATACTATTTAGCTATACCCCTAACTCCTTGAGGGGTTCAGTGCCAGGAGCTAGGAGGCAGAAGACCTGGGTTCTGGTCCCAGGTCTTCTGTACTACTTCTGTACTACTGTACTACAGATCTGAATGTAAGTTATTTCTCTATTCCAAATAAGGTACCCATGCTCATGCGTTTGCTTTATAAATGGGACTTCCTGATCACTTTTTAAGTGAGGCACAGTGGCAGTTTGACCAGAACTCTAGCCTCACACTGTTGTGAAGTCTATTGATAATTCATTTTGACATTTGAAGAGAAATGGTTGATGACTTTTGGTGGGTGAGGTATATGGGTTTTTAAGTAATATTAAGGAAAAACTTAATAGGCTCTCTTGAATTCTTCACCTCTTCTCAACTGTAATTTTACCTACCCTAGACAATGCCATCCCTATCAAATCCTGGTTCAGTGACCCCAGTGACACAGCCCTTCTCAACCTTCTCCCAATGCTGGATGCCCTCAGGTAAGGGAAGTGGTCTGTAGATACTTTTTGTTGTTCTTTTTTTTTTTTTTTTACCCTCTCTCTTTGCTAAAGTTTATTTTGAGACAAATTCTGTGTAGCCTGTGCTGGCCTAAAACTTGGGCTTCCTGGCTTAACTTCCCAAGTGCTACCTGGGGTCACAGGTGCACTACCATATCTAACAACACTTGGATTGCCAAGGAAAAGAGGTGGGTGGATCTCAAAAGAATTAGAAAAAAAAGTGCTTCAGAACTTCAGGGTTTGGGACAGGTCTTTTTAACTTCAGAGCTCATTGTTTTTAGCCATTTGATTTCTATCAAATTGAGCTTATCTCACTGTTTGAAAGTGGTATTGAGTTCCGTCCTAAATCTCCAGTGAGGCTCCATTGTGAGGATATCAACTGTAAGGTACTCCACCAATGCAAGTTACTGTCATTACAGGTTCACTGCTGATGTCCGTTCTGTGCTGAGCCGAAACCTTCACCAACATAGGCTCTGGTGACAGCTGCTCCCCCTCCACCTGAGTTGGGGTGGGGGGGAAAGGGAGGGAGAACTCTTGGGATGCGTCTGTTGCCCTGTCCAATGTGAGGACTGCCTGGGCAGGGTCTGCCCCTCCCATCCCTCTCTGCCCTCGGAGCTCTGCACTCCACTATGGAGTCTGGATGGACACATGGGGCCAGACTGTGAAGCAGCCTCACTCTTCGTGTTCACACTCCATGGAAATGCCACACCGGGACAGGTGAAGGCCTTGGAGAGCTGAAACTGTCTGGCGGAGAGGCAGGACTGGCCTCCGTGACAGACGTGATCCCAGAGGCTTACAAGAAGCCAAGTCAACTTTGTTGTGATTTGATTTTTTAAAAACTCTTGTACAAAACCGATCTAATTCTTCACTCCTGCTCCAAGGGCTGGGCTGTGGGTGGGAGCCTGGGATTTTGGGCCACTGGATCTTCCTCAAACTTGTCCTTCCCTTACTTTTCCTCATTTTTTTCTCCCCCCAAACCCCTTGATACCTGTAATCAATCAACTTTCTCTTTTCTTCCTTCCTCTTTTAAACCATGCATTATAACTTTGAAACCAAAGCTGCCATAGGTCCTTCTGGCGTTTTTGAAAGCGGAGGGAACTTGTTCACATCCACCCTGCCCCTGAAACGGGGAAGATGCTGTTTGGGATGTGGGGAAGTGGGACTCGGTATAGGAATAAAGTAGTTTATGTCGAGGATGGGGACCCCAGGAGCAGTGGAAGAGCAACTTGAGACTAGGATATAGAGGCTGAAGATGAGAAGCCTGGATCCTTCAAAGGGCATCCGCAGCTGGAGAAAGGCAGGGCTTGGTCTGGGAGGTTGACGTGGACAGGCTAAGAGGGCTTGTTGGCTCTCCTGCGGTGAGCTTGGGGCGGAACTCTACCGCCTCCCTGACACCTCTCAGAGCCGGGCCTACTTTCTGGTACTCGCCACGTGATGCTCCGCCCTTTTCTGAGGTCACATGATACTGTGTGCATCTCAAAATGTGTTCCTCCGCATTGGCTAGGTCCCTATCTTTTGGACGTTGCAGTTCCTATTGGTCCACTCAACCCCAATCCCTAAGCGTTCTGTATGTGTCTGCAAACCCTTTTCCTTTCTGCCTTTTTATTGAGGAGTCCATATCCACCTTTTGGGTACTACTTTGTTTTGGTGTCAACGGCCGCCTTTAGCGTAGTGACTCTCTTCGTGAATGCCTAGACTTGTAATTTTCTGCGTTCCCCTACGTAATTTACGAAAAGGACTAGAGGCCCAAATCTTAGGACTATCACCTGCTACCCTATTTTGTCCTCAGCTTCGTGCTGCGAGACTACCGGAGAAAGGGTTTTCAGTTGATTTGAAACGACAGTAATCTTTGCTGCCATGTCATCTGCGTAACACACAAATTGATTCCAAAGCGGTTACGCTGAAGGCGTGAGGGGGCCGGACAGCGGGTGGCGCTACGTCAGTGGCGTTAGCAAGCTGAGCTAGTGGCGTATTTCAGCAGGCGGGGCCGCACCGGATGGTCGGGGGCGGGGTTGGTGAATAGGGAAGTGGCGCAAATTCGTGGATCGCTCCGCTGAGTCTGTTCGTCGCAGCCGCCGCCACCTCCGCCGCCGCCCCCTGTCCCGGCCCCCCCCCTGGGTTTCCTCAGCCCAGCTAGGTCCAGCCCGGTTCTCGGGAGAATGAAGTTCGTGTACAAAGAGGAGCATCCGTTCGAGAAGCGCCGCTCTGAGGGCGAGAAAATCCGAAAGAAATACCCAGACCGGGTCCCGGTAAGGACAGTATCCAGGGCCAAGGCTCAGGGTGCTGACGCTGTCGCCACAAGCTAGGCTTGAGTCTGGGAAAGTGGAGGTCAGCCTCCAGTCTGTTGTGGGGTTAGGAGTCTGAAACGGTTGTCTCTGGTACCAGGGATGAGAAGCTTGTATAAGTATAGCTGGGACTGCGATGTGGACAGGAGAGGGAGACACCTTGGCATTTGTCAGAATGGAGGCCTTTAGGGAGCTTGACCACCAGCGCTTCCGTGGCCATCCTCTCAGCTACCTAGATTTAAGGTAGAGTTTGACCAAGCAAGTCATCCTGTTTCTCTGATGAAATAGTTATTGTGATTTGCCATTCTGTGACCAATACTCAAAATTTAGGTAAGCCACTGAGGCCAGGATCTCTGGACTCAATGCTGCATGCACCACGTATATAAGGATAAAGAGAAATGAGATTGCAGTGGGTTTCAATACAGGGAATATCGTATCTTGAGTTCTTCATCGATGTAGCTGTATTTTTTTTGTGTGTGTCTTCTCTGTCATATCTTCCTTTCATCAGGTGATAGTGGAAAAAGCTCCCAAAGCTCGGATAGGAGATTTGGACAAAAAGAAATACCTGGTGCCTTCTGATCTTACAGGTGGGAATGTGATCCCAGATGTGGGATTCCTTCTGAGGGTGGGAATGCCATCTTTGTGGGAGAAGGCTTCACCTGGCAGCTGTTTTCTGGAAGCACTGATGACCTCTGTGACTTTCTTGCATCTCGTGTTTTGGCAGTTGGTCAATTCTACTTCTTGATCCGGAAGCGAATTCATCTCCGTGCTGAGGATGCCTTGTTTTTCTTTGTCAACAACGTCATTCCACCCACCAGTGCCACGATGGGACAGCTATACCAGGTATAGTACCTTGGAAGTAATAGGAGTGTTCGGAGTCCCTGACAGCTTGAGTAGAAAAGAAAGTCAAGGTCAGCAATTCCCTGTAGTAGCTGTCTTACTATGTCTTACTAGCTTTAAAATGTCAGTGTTGTCCTGGGCAGTTGGGATTTTAATAGCAGTGGGAACAGAGAGAAGAGCTTGAGTTGGAGTAGCTGTTTTGATTGGGACTTCTATTACCCAAGTTTCTTCCCCTCATCCAAGATGTCAGAACAGTTTGAGATTTTTTTTTCTTTTCTTTTTTTTTGAGACAGGGTTTCTCTGTGTAGCCCTGGCTGTCCTGGAACTTCCTCTGTAGACTAGACTGGCCTTGAACTCAAGAGATCCACCTGCCTCCTGAGTGCTGGAAATAAAGTTGTGCTCTACCACACCTGTAGCCCCCACCTTGAATAACAGATGCACAGTGTTGTATACTTTTAATTCTGTAAGTCCTCAGGAGGCAGAAGTCTGTCTCAATACAATCACAGTTGCTATCATTAAAATTGTTATATCTCTGAAACGAGAGATGCATATTAAGATCCTGTCTCAAAACAAACATAAAACCGCCGACAGTAGGTTGTGATCATGCACACTTTGGACCTCAGCACTCTGTAATGGTCTACATAGAGAGTTTGAGGCTAGCTAGAGCTACATAGTGAGACCCTATCTCAAAAACAAAAACCCAAGAGAACTCACACACACACCCCAAAAACAGAATAAATGAAATCAAGTAAACACTGGGGGTGCTGAGGGAGTAGTGTCTTGATTTGGAAGCCACCTTGGCTATATAGTGAGTTTGAAGTCAGCCTTTCTTAAAGGAGAGAGAGAAAATAAGAATAAATGGCTCCTTTTTTAAAAATTATTCCTTTTGTATTAGGGACTATATTTAGTGTCTACACTTGCTAGGTAGGTACCTTATATATATCTTCAAATGTATTTTGAATCAGGTTCTTAAGGTGCCTTGGTGGCCTTTACCTTTCAGTCCTTTCCAGGAACTGGAATTACCAGGCCATGCCTAAAAGAATGATTCTTGCTCTTACTCTCACGCTCTTACCTTCCTCTTCCTGTTCCTCTTTGCTCTCTGCTCTAACTCTTACCCCTTCTCCCCCTCTCCCTCCCTGTAGTAAATAAACTCTATGATTAATGTTAAAAAAAAGGATTCTTGAGGAGTGTCTTGGATCCAAGTTGCTATTATACTCTTTTTGGTTTCACTGTAGGAACACCACGAAGAAGACTTCTTTCTATACATTGCCTACAGTGATGAAAGTGTCTACGGTCTGTGAAGCTGCTGTCCCTGAGGTGGGGGTTCCATTCCACAAAGAGAGGTGGCGCTCCTTCCTTGACATCTACTTCCTCCTTCAGGCGAAAACATCATCTCCCTTCTTCAAGATCTGCACTTAATGTTTGAGGCTGATTCTCCAGTCCCTCTCAGCAAGAGGGGTAATGGTAGACACAGTCTCTACATCTCCTTCCTTTCTCCTTGTTTGCCCTCATTCCCACTCTGCTTTAGACTTCTTGATTGTCAATCTCTGTCACATCCGTTGATTGTTTTGGTTTCTATTCCCTTTCTAACTGCCCAGCAGGCTCAGAACCCCAACAAACCCTTCCTTTCACTACCTTCTTTTTGGGGGGGTAGATGGAAGGGGTTGACTTTGTCAGGGGGAGGTAGGAGGCATATCAATAAAGAAGAAACCACCGAGCTGAATTGAATTTTGCCCTGTGTCATTCCACCTCCTGTTTGCTTGCTTCAAGTGTCATGAACTTCAATTGTGGGAAAGGAGGAATGTGGTATAGGTCAGAGAAAGGGAAACACTTTGTTGATGTAGGTATTTCCATGTTTGAAAATAAGATTTTTTTTAAATGAGTGGAATAATGTGAGCATTTATCTCATGAAACTTTGAGGTTTATTTGGGGGGGGGGGCGGCAGACAGGGTTTCTCTGTGGCTTTGGAGGCTGGCCTGGAACTCTCTTTGAAAATCGGGCTGCCTTAGAACTCACAGAAACCCGCCTGCCTCTGTTGGGATTAAAGGTGTGTGCCACCAACGCCCAGGGAAGCTTTGATTTTATATATGTGTATATTGGGTTTCGATGTAAACAAAGGGGTGATAGCAGTGGGTTTCTATGGAGAAAGTTTGAAAGTACCACTTTTAGGTAAGCATATCCAAATTTGTTACTTTGTATTAAAGAAGAGATGTTCATGTTTGGGAGGTTGTAAAAGGTTTGTCTTTAACTGGCTGTCACTTGCAGAGTTTGTGCCAGTGTATGGGATCCTGTAAGCCGGGCGGTGGTGGCGCATGCCTTTAGTCTCAGCACTCGGGAGGCAGAGGCAGGCGGATCTCTGAGTTCAAGGCCAGCCTGGTCTCCAGAGCGAGTGCCAGGATAGGTTCCAAAGCTACACAGAGAAGCCCTATCTCGAAAAACCAAAACAAAACAAAAATGGGGGGGGGGGGCCCCTGTAAAAGGGGAGAGGGTGAAGGGTGCCATTATCACTAGGAGAACTTCATCTCCCAGCATCCATGTCTCCTTTTGGCCGGAAGTGGGGCGGTTCCCTGAGGGGGTAAAAAGAAAGTACAAAATGAGGCAGTATGGTGGCCGAGAGTTCTAATCCCTTCTTCATCTACTTTCTTGGTCCCGCCCAGCCTACACTTCCCGGGAGTCTGTGCGGACTCTTCCGCTCTACCCCTCTGGCTCCGGATCTCCCCCACCACTCCCC